CCAAATCAAAATGAAGCATTAGTTACAATACCATGTACAAACATGATGTTTAACATTGTTTCCTGAGTAATACTTCAATGAAAACAACAATAAAAGCTTGTCACGCAAATAGAAGGAGCACCGTTGGGCACTTTCTGAAATATTTCAATAGTATAATTGCCTTGCAAACCCAAATAAATCTATTTGCGTAAAAATAAATAAAATAAGAGTGATTTGCGGCAAAACCCGCCAGTATCACACCCAACGTCAGTGCCTATACGTAAGCGTACTACGACGCGGCTCTCAATTGAAGGAGTAACAAGTGTGATACTATCACTGCTAGACTAGATCTTTGGTTCTCTCATGCAGTGGTTTATCAGAGAGGGGAAGCTTAGTAATCCCCATTGCCTGCCCATGACGCCATTCTATCGTGGCATGAGCCAGCAACGCCGACCATAAACCTACCGTATCCAACACTCCACTAGCATGAAATTAAACCCGCCCACCAACAGCAAGGTGCAAAAACTAGCCAAGGGGAGGGACTTACCTTTTTGTAGCATGCTAGAATAATAAATGAATATCTCACTTTTCACTCTTCCTGCTAATTTAAAAGATTTAACGCTTTCAGCGCTTTATATCTATGGACCGAACATTAGGGACGTAATTTTGATGCTTGTTTTCAATTATGGCCCACGAACTTTATTTGATAACTTTGTTTTGGTATTGGTGAAACCATTCGCGTTGATGACGACTCTGCAACTGTTCACTTCTATAGGAAACCCTCATAAACAAATGTCGAATTTCGTAAAACAAAGTGGATAGTTTCTTATCTTTTCACTCCACTGGAAAGTCCCAGGCAAAATGTTAATATTTGCGTGAAAGGAGGGGTCGACACGGTACACACGCTATTTCTAAACAACCCAAATTTGAGAAGGATCTACTCATATTTGTCAAAAGTAGGGTACACGAAATTGAGTAAACAAAGTTTAGACTAACAAGATGACGAATAGAAAACATCAACCCGAATCCAACCGATTTTATTCATTTGTCATCTTGTCAGTTTGCTCAATTTTCGGTAGCCCTACTTTTGACGGATCTGAGTAGATCCTACTAAAATGTGGGTTGTTTAAAAATAGCGTGCAATCAATCCTCCCGTCAAAACAAACTTTACGGCAAATGAGACTAACTCATATTTGAGTACCATGCACTCAAACTCGCAAAAATTTACTCGTAGAGTTTGAGTGACATTTAATCATATATGAGTGACGTTTAATCATATTTGAGAAAACATTTACTCATTCTATGAGTGACTTACTTTTTTGCGAATTTGAGTGATCGGGATTCAAATATGAGTCATATTCATTTACCGTATAGGCCCTTCGAAAAAACTATCAAGCCGAACAATGCATTAGGTCCTAAGTAACATTGATCGATCCACCTCTTCCACTTTCTCTTTCATTAATAATTTGGCTACAAATCCGTTTCTTGCCGAATTTGCCGTATTAGATGCTAGATAATAGCTTCTTTTATCGAACTATGTGTTGGAAATAGCTGGAAGAATCCATACATGTCCATGGGGGTGCAAAGAAAAAATCTACTTAAAGAATCTGTCAATGTTATTTAGGAGCTAATGCATTGTTGGGCGTGCTATCACTTGACTTTACAGTTCGTTATATGTGCGGTCGTGAGATGATCTATTTGGCTCGTGATTTAAACATGATGAAAACACTATCTCTTTCATCCTCATCAGTTTTTACGCCAGAAGTGAAAGTGACGTTAACAATGTGGTTACATATGAATGATAAATAGTGAAAAAGAAGCGCTATTCCACATGCTGATCCTTTCTAGATCGAGGTTCATCTTCGATAGGACCAGGACCAAAGAGTACTACGAAAAAACTGCATGCAAAATACTTTGTCAGTAACTAAAAGTGATATTTGGATATCAAAAGAATACCTGTGTGGTATTATTTTGGTATTGTTCATGTAAAATTTTCAAAATGGCATCCATTAATTTATTCTAAAAGCTGTAACGCGGAAACGGCATTCCTGATCGAAATGACGTCTGATACAAAGTTGCAGAAGAAAATAATGTCTTTCTGTTCCCAAAAAATGTTTATATTTTATTTTAAGTAAAAATGTAATGGAAGTGTAACCTCAAAATTTCCTTGACCGGTTTATAAAAAAATAAAATAAAAAAGGTTTTAAGAAAGGCAAGCTTTTTCAATTTTCAAAACTATGGAATCTTTTAGAGTGAAAAAACATGAATTTATTTTTAATTTTGGTACGCATTAATGCTTTTAAAAAAAATATTTAAAATGCCTTAAACCTTATTTTATAAGTATAAATTATATGAAAAAAGGAATGAATGAATAAAAAAAAATTAAAAATCAGCAAAATGATTTTGAGACAGGGTAGAGAACTACTTCGGCCTAATCGCCCATTTCGGGCCTATCGTGCAGACAACACAAAATAATTCAATGATTTCTGAGTTAACAAGTCAATTATGAGTTTGGTACGATACTTTAGTTAATAAGCTACCGAACGAAGTCAATCAGAAGGCGTGATATGAAGGTTTGCACCCATTATTCCCAAAAACAAAAGAAGCGCTCTGACCGAATCAATTTTTATCTTCATCCGATAGGCCGAAGTGAATTTATTTGCGTTTCAATGGCGTTTAAATGCGTTAGAACGAGTTTAGAATCCGTAGGCCGAGTTTGGCGTCAAGAAGCAGTGTTAGACTTTTGACAATATCTCAACGATTGGTTCCTCTTTATCAAATCTTACGGTGCGTGCAGAAAGGCAAATAAATTTGGAAGCCATCAGTAATAATAACATTACGTTTGGTGCTAAACTACGCTAGATTAAGAAATACTAAGTGCGGGTTGTGCTTAATAGGCCGAAAATGGGGTAGTTAACCCTACTTAGGTTTTAACACTTTTAATGCAAATCGGAGAAGTCATTTGGCGGCTCCATTACAGGACTGTTGTTGAAGTGAAAAGATGTCACCATCGTGTCAAACTGTAGCACCTTTGTCACTTTCACTAATGCGTTATTTCTCTTCTATTCCCCAGTTGATTCAAAATGCCGAACCTATTACAAGACGGAACATATGAAGGAAAAATCCAATCAGGTTACCACGGCAAAGTATTCCAAAAACAAGTTGCAGTCACCTTTTTTCTACGGATGCGGAGAGACAGTTTCAATGTCAGATTGGCATATGAAGTGTCACAAGCCGACAAGTATGATGACGTAGTGATCATTGACGATGGACGTGAGGTGTTACACTTCATCCAGGTGAAGCACGCCGTTACCAAAGATGGCAAGGTAAATGTTATCGATTTAAATGCACTATTTCCGACCGAGGAAAAAGATCAACACAACGGAGACTTCAGTATTTACAAGTACCTGGAATCCTATTTGAAAGTTGTTGAAAACTTTAAGAAAGACCAATACAAAAAGCAGTTCTATATATTTACTAATAAGGATTTAAACATCTCCGATGTTGATTGGGTGAGGACTGATGAGGTAGAAGTAGATGAAATCCTACGATTTCCTGGATCCAAGGCCCGACACCTGAAACTGTATCCAACCGAAAAAGCTATTATAGAATTGAGTAATTTTATCAACAAAGATTTCGAAAACCTTAAAAAGGCAATCATAGAGCTTTTCAACAATGGAACCGTCAGTAACATTTTAGAAACCTATAGTACTCCTCTGAAAGACGTTTTAACAATAAAAAAGAAGCAATGCAGTTTTTTAGATAGCTTCAACTCGGAAAGCGAACAAATCAATGTTGCCAAGTTGTTTAAAGTTCTGGAAAAAGATAAGCTTGATATGAAGAAGACAATAACAGTGAATAACTTTTTACTAAGAAACTCAAGGGTGAAACATTTGCCACGTTATTTTAGTGAGGAGGAAATTGTGGCATTCTTCAACGACTTTTCTCTATTGGTGAGTCAACCAAATGATTTGTATCCAATTATTGAAAGCGAGCTGTGGACGTGGTGTAAATCGTGGATCTGTCCAGAAATTCTCAGAAAATTGAGAGAAATCGATCTGATATTTAGAGATCTGATATTAAAATTTGACCAACTCAATAAACCCAAAAACAATAAAATGAAGGCAATGTTGAAAAAAAGTGATGTACTAAACTGTCTTAGTGAAATTCAGAATGATAACGATAAACTTGAAGGTAAGGAAACAAAACAATTGCAAAAATATTACATCAATCGCCGTATTATATACAAATATAGTAAATCGACCAATGACGAAAATGTCATTGAAGTTGAGAAAACAGGTATGGAAGAGGCCGAGATGACCCAGCGTCTGGCTGAAAATCTCCTTAATAAAGACAACCAACCAGGTATGGAAGACAACATTGAAGTAATTTCACGACAGATGAGTGACACTCAGTTTGTTGAAGAGCTTGGGGAAACATTTGAAGACCATCAGATCATCGTACTCCTGGCAGACCCCGGAATGGGGAAGACTAGCTTGCTTCAGTTTGTAGCCTTTGAAGTGCAGAAGCAAAATGTCATTAATGTGCTGTTAGTGTATTTAAGCGAGTTGGTGATGGAGCTCGAAAAAGTAGAACACATTTCAGAGTTGAAGGTGCTTAATGTCCTCAAAGTGATCCTTTCAGAGCGAAATTGCGATCTCATTGAAAATTCCCCACATGAAAGGGATGACAGAGGCTATTCCATTCTTATAGTGATGGATGGCTTCGACGAGATCCACTCCAAGTACACCGACAAGGTGATTAAGATGCTGGAACAACTCAAGTTGAAAAAGAGCATTCGAATCATCATCAGCGCCAGAAAACATATGCAAGTATTATTAGAGAGTAAATTTAATTTAAGATCTATGTTTCTGGAGCCATTCATTGTGGAAGATCAAATCAACTATTTCAGAAAGATGTGGCACGAACCAGATCTAGATGAACATTGCTTTGAAAGCTACTCGAAACATATTTTAAACACATTTAAATCAAATATCCCTTCAAAATTAAGTGAAATTTGTGGTGCGCCACTCATGGTAAAAATGCTGGCGGAGGTTTATTTAGAAAAATTTAGAAATTACCATTCATTGAAGAAACAGAATACCAATCAGCTCGTTGATCTGACTAAAGAAAAAATGAATATTGCACAGCTATACGAACAGTTTATAAGAAGATGTTTTCACAAGAAATTTATGGAAAAATTTAAGCCCAAATTTGCTCTGAGCGACGCTGAATTGGATTGGTTGATGGGTGATTTTATTTTGAAGCATCAGTTGTTAGCTATGGAACTGCTAAATATTGAAGTACGTATGGACTTATTAAAAAATCAATATTATAAAGTAATACACGATCAATTTAAAAAACGATGCAAACAGGAATCAGATTCATCACAACTGGTTCATGTAGTCCAGCAGAAGGTTAATTTTTGCCATCGGTCTTACAGTGAATACTTTGTGGCAAAATATCTATGCGACAACATTTTTACGTTGTCAGGAAAAATTGTCAGACGCATTTGGTCTAGATATATCGTTGTTCGAAGATTGTCTATGGCCATGATGGAAGGGAACCAGGCATATCTCAATATCTTAAATAATCTGTGTAAAAAAAACTGGAAGATTGCACTGTGGGCATGTGAGTGTGACTGTTTGAGTATCATTTCCTCTTTAGAAGGACATTTTAAATCATTCTCAACAAGCAACCTAACGGATATGATACTGGTTGCTGCGGAAAGTGGGTTTGTTGAAATATATGAATTATTATCAAAGAATAAAGCTGACGTGAATGCAGCGGATGAAAAACAATTGAAAATGCCGAACCTATTACAAGACGGAACATATGAAAGAAAAATCCAATCAGGCTACCACGGCGAAGTATATCAAAAACAAGTTGCAGTCACCTTTTTTCTACGGATGCGGAGAGACAGTTTCAAAGTCAGATTGGCATATGAAATGTCAAAAGCCGACAAGTATGATGACGTAGTGATCATTGACGATCGACGTGAGGTGTTACACTTCATCCAGGTGAAGCACGCCGTTACCAAAGATGGCAAGGTAAATGTTATCGATTTAAATGCACTATTTCCGACCGTGGAAAAAGATCAACACAACGGAGACTTCAGTATTTACAAGTACCTGGAATCCTATTTGAAAGTTGTTGAAAACTTTAAGAAAGACCAATACAAAAAGCAGTTCTATATATTTACTAATAAGGATTTAAACATCTCCGATGTTGATTGGGTGAGGACTGTTGAGGTAGAAGTAGATGAAATCCTACGATTTCCTGGATCCAAGGCCCGACACCTGAAACTGGATCCAACCGAAAAAGCTATTAAGGAGTTGAGCAATTTTATCAACAAAGATTTCGAAAACCTTAAAAAGGCAATCAAAGAGCTTTTCAACAATGGAACCGTCAGTAACATTTTAGAAACCTATAGTACTCCTCTGAAAGACGTTTTAACAATAAAAAAGAAGCAATGCAGTTTTTTAGATAGCTTCAACTCGGAAAGCGAACAATTCAATGTTGCCAAGTTGTTTAAAGTTCTGGAAAAAGATAAGCTTGATATGAAGAAGACAATAACAGTGAATAACTTTTTACTAAGAAACTCAAGGGTGAAACATTTGCCACGTTATTTTAGTGAGGAGGAAATTGTGGCATTCTTCAACGACTTTTCTCTATTGGTGAGTCAACCAAATGATTTGTATCCAATTATTGAAAGCGAGCTGTGGACGTGGTGTAAATCGTGGATCTGTCCAGAAATTCTCAGAAAATTGAGAGAAATCGATCTGATATTTAGAGATCTGATATTAAAATTTGACCAACTCAATAAACCTAAAAAGAATAAAATGAAGGCAATGTTGAAAAAAAGTGATGTACTAAACTGTCTTAGTGAAATTCAGAATGATAACGATAAACTTGAAGGTAAGGAATCAAAACAATTGCAAAAATATTACATCAATCGCCGTATTATATACAAATATAGTAAACCGACCAATGACGAAAATGTCATTGAAGTTGAGAAAACAGGTATGGAAGAGGCCGAGATGAACCAGCGTCTGGCTGAAAATCTCCTTAATAAAGACAACCAACCAGGTATGGAAGACAACATTGAAGTAATTTCACGACAGATGAGTGACACTCAGTTTATTGAAGAGCTTGGGGATACATTTGAAGACCATCAGATCATCGTACTTCTGGCAGACCCCGGAATGGGGAAGACTAGCTTGCTTCAGTTTGTAGCCTTTGAAGTGCAGAAGCAAAATGTCGTTAATGTACTGTTAGTGTATTTAAGCGAGTTGGTGATGGAGCTCGAAAAAGTAAAACACATTTCAGAGTTGAAGGTGCTTAATGTGCTCAAAGTGATCCTTTCAGAGCGAAATTGCGATCTCATTGAAAATTCCCCACATGAAAGGGATGACAGAGGCTATTCTATTCTTATATTGATGGATGGCTTCGACGAGATCCACTCCAAGTACACTGACAAGGTGATTGAGATGCTGGAACAACTCAAGTTGAAAAAGAGCATTCGAATCATCATCAGCGCCAGAAAACATATGCAAGTATTATTAGAGAGTAAATTTAATGTAAGATCTATGTTTCTGGAGCCGTTCATTGTGGAAGACCAAATCAACTATTTCAGAAAGATGTGGCACGAACCAGATCTAGATGAACGTTGCTTTGAAAGCTACTCGAAACATATTTTAAACACATTTAAATCAAATATCCCTTCAAATTTAGGCGAAATTTGTGGTGCGCCACTCATGGTAAAAATGCTGGCGGAGGTTTATTTAGAAAAATTTAAAAATTACCATTCATCGAAGAATACAAATCAGCTCATTGATCTGACTAAAGAAAAAATGAATATTGCACAGCTATACAAAGAGTTTATAAGAAGATGTTTTCACAAGAAATTTATGGAAAAATTTAAGCCCAAATTTGATCTGAGCGACGCTGAATTGGATTGGTTGATGGGTGATTTTATTTTGAAGCATCAGTTATTAGCTATGGAGCTGCTAAACATTGAAGTACGAAGGGAATTGTTTAAAAATCAATATTATAGAGACATACACGATCAATTTAAAAACCGATGCGAACAGGAATCAGATTCATCACAACTGGTTCATGTAGTCCAGCAGAAGGTTGATTTTTGCCATCGGTCTTACAGTGAATACTTTGTGGCAAAATATCTATGCGACAACATTTTTACATTGTCAGGAGAAATTGTCATACACATTTTGTCTAGATATATTGTTGTTCGAAGATTGTCTATGACCAAGATGGAAGGAAACCAGGCATATATCAAGATCTTAAATAATCTGTGTGAAAAAAGCTGGAAGATTGCACTGTGGGCATGTGAGTGTGACTGTTTGAGTATCATTTCCTCTTTAGAAGGACATTTTAAATCATTCTCAACAAGCAACCTAACGGATATGATTCTGGTTGTTGCGAAACGTGGGTTTGTTGAAATCTGTGAATTTTTATTAAAGAATAAAGCTGACGTGAATGCAGCGGATGAAAAAAAAATAACTGCTCTTTATTATGCAGCTGAAAATGGACACGATCAGTTGATCCAACTGTTGATTGACAAAGGATCCACTGTTAACACTTGTTCAACTACCGGTGAAACTCCACTTCATACCACAGCATCAAATGGTCATAAGGACGTTGCAGAACTCTTGATATCAAACAATGCTGACGTGAATGCAGTGGATGAAGATCAATGGACTGCTATTCATTATGCAGCTCAAAATGGACACGATCAGTTGATCCAACTGTTGATTGACAAAGGATCCACTGTTAACACTTGTTCAACTACCGGTAGAACTCCACTTCATACCGCAGCATGGTATGGTCATAAGAATATTGCAGAGCTCTTGATATCAAACAATGCTGACGTGAATGCAGTGGATGAAAATCAATGGACTCCTTTGAATTTAGCTGCTCATAATGGACACCACCAGTTGATCCAACTGTTGATTGATAAAGGATCCACTATTCACATTTGTTCAATTTACGGTGTAACTCCACTTCATAGCGCAGCACGGAATGGTCATAAGAACGTTGCAGAACTCTTGATATCAAACAATGTTGACGTGAATGCAGTGGATAAAGAACAAAAGACTGCTCTTTATTATGCAGCTCAAAATGGACACGATCAGTTGATCAAACTGTTGATTGACAAAGGATCCACTGTTAACACTTGTTCAACTACCGGTATAACTCCGCTTCACAAAGCAGCATGGAATGGTCATAAGAACGTTGCAGAACTTCTGATATCAAACAATGCTGATTTGAATGCAGTGGATGAAGAACAAAGGACTGCTCTTTCCTTTGCAGCTCATAATGGACACAATCAGTTGATCAAACTGTTGATTGACAAAGGATCCACTGTTAACACTTGTTCAACTACCGGTATAACTCCGCTTCACAACGCAGCATGGAATGGTCATAAGAACGTTGCAGAACTTCTGATATCAAACAATGCTGATTTGAATGCAGTGGATGAAGAACAAAGGACTGCTCTTTCCTTTGCAGCTCAAAATGGACACGATCAGTTAATCCAACTGTTGATTGACAAAGGATCCACTGTTAACATTTGTTCAATTACCGGTAGAACTCCGCTTCACAACGCAGCATGGAATGGTCATAAGAACGTTGCAGAACTCTTGATATCAAACAATGCTGACGTAAATGCAGTGGATGAAAAACAATGGACTGCTATTCATTATGCAGCTGACAATGGACACGATCAGTTGATCCAACTGTTGATTGACAAAGGATCCACTGTTAACACTTGTTCAACTACCGGTGAAACTCCACTTCATACCACAGCATGGAATGGTCATAAGGACGTTGCAGAACTCTTGATATCAAACAATGCTGACGTGAATGCAGTGGATGAAGATCAATGGACTGCTATTCATTATGCAGCTGAAAATGGACACGATCAGTTGATCCAACTGTTGATTGACAAAGGATCCACTGTTAACACTTGTTCAACTACCGGTGAAACTCCACTTCATACCACAGCATCAAATGGTCATAAGGACGTTGCAGAACTCTTGATATCAAACAATGCTGACGTGAATGCAGTGGATGAAGATCAATGGACTGCTATTCATTATGCAGCTGAAAATGGACACGATCAGTTGATCCAACTGTTGATTGACAAAGGATCCACTGTTAACATTTGTTCAATTACCGGTAGAACTCCGCTTCACAACGCAGCATGGAATGGTCATAAGAACGTTGCAGAACTCTTGATATCAAACAATGCTGACGTGAATGCAGTGGATGAAAAACAATGGACTGCTATTCATTATGCAGCTGACAATGGACACGATCACTTGATCCAACTGTTGATTGACAGAGGATCCACTGTTAACATTTGTTCAATTACCGGTAGAACTCCGCTTCACAACGCAGCATGGAATGGTCATAAGAACGTTGCAGAACTTCTGATATCAAACAATGCTGATTTGAATGCAGTGGATGAAGAACAAAGGACTGCTCTTTCCTTTGCAGCTCAAAATGGACACGATCAGTTAATCCAACTGTTGATTGACAAAGGATCCACTGTTAACATTTGTTCAATTACCGGTAGAACTCCGCTTCACAACGCAGCATGGAATGGTCATAAGAACGTTGCAGAACTCTTGATATCAAACAATGCTGACGTGAATGCAGTGGATGAAAAACAATGGACTGCTATTCATTATGCAGCTGACAATGGACACGATCACTTGATCCAACTGTTGATTGACAGAGGATCCACTGTTAACATTTGTTCAATTACCGGTAGAACTCCGCTTCACAACGCAGCATGGAATGGTCATAAGAACGTTGCAGAACTTCTGATATCAAACAATGCTGATTTGAATGCAGTGGATGAAGAACAAAGGACTGCTCTTTCCTTTGCAGCTCAAAATGGACACGATCAGTTAATCCAACTGTTGATTGACAAAGGATCCACTGTTAACATTTGTTCAATTACCGGTAGAACTCCGCTTCACAACGCAGCATGGAATGGTCATAAGAACGTTGCAGAACTCTTGATATCAAACAATGCTGACGTGAATGCAGTGGATGAAAAACAATGGACTGCTATTCATTATGCAGCTGACAATGGACACGATCACTTGATCCAACTGTTGATTGACAGAGGATCCACTGTTAACATTTGTTCAATTACCGGTAGAACTCCGCTTCACAACGCAGCATGGAATGGTCATAAGAACGTTGCAGAACTTCTGATATCAAACAATGCTGATTTGAATGCAGTGGATAAAGAACAAAAGACTGCTCTTTATTATGCAGCTCAAAATGGACACGATCAGTTGATCAAACTGTTGATTGACAAAGGATCCACTGTTAACACTTGTTCAACTACCGGTAGAACTCCACTTCATACCGCAGCATGGAATGGTCATAAGAATATTGCAGAGCTCTTGATATCAAACAATGCTGACGTGAATGCAGTGGATGAAAATCAATGGACTCCTTTGAATTTAGCTGCTCATAATGGACACCACCAGTTGATCCAACTGTTGATTGATAAAGGATCCACTATTCACATTTGTTCAATTTACGGTGTAACTCCACTTCATAGCGCAGCACGGAATGGTCATAAGAACGTTGCAGAACTCTTGATATCAAACAATGTTGACGTGAATGCAGTGGATAAAGAACAAAAGACTGCTCTTTATTATGCAGCTCAAAATGGACACGATCAGTTGATCAAACTGTTGATTGACAAAGGATCCACTGTTAACACTTGTTCAACTACCGGTAGAACTCCGCTTCACAACGCAGCATGGAATGGTCATAAGAACGTTGCAGAACTCTTGATATCAAACAATGCTGATTTGAATGCAGTGGATGAAGAACAAAGGACTGCTCTTTCCTTTGCAGCTCATAATGGACACAATCAGTTGATCAAACTGTTGATTGACAAAGGATCCACTGTTAACACTTGTTCAACTACCGGTATAACTCCGCTTCACAACGCAGCATGGAATGGTCATAAGAACGTTGCAGAACTTCTGATATCAAACAATGCTGATTTGAATGCAGTGGATGAAGAACAAAGGACTGCTCTTTCCTTTGCAGCTCAAAATGGACACGATCAGTTAATCCAACTGTTGATTGACAAAGGATCCACTGTTAACATTTGTTCAATTACCGGTAGAACTCCGCTTCACAACGCAGCATGGAATGGTCATAAGAACGTTGCAGAACTCTTGATATCAAACAATGCTGACGTAAATGCAGTGGATGAAAAACAATGGACTGCTATTCATTATGCAGCTGACAATGGACACGATCAGTTGATCCAACTGTTGATTGACAAAGGATCCACTGTTAACACTTGTTCAACTACCGGTGAAACTCCACTTCATACCACAGCATGGAATGGTCATAAGGACGTTGCAGAACTCTTGATATCAAACAATGCTGACGTGAATGCAGTGGATGAAGATCAATGGACTGCTATTCATTATGCAGCTGAAAATGGACACGATCAGTTGATCCAACTGTTGATTGACAGAGGATCCACTGTTAACACTTGTTCAACTACCGGTGAAACTCCACTTCATACCACAGCATCAAATGGTCATAAGGACGTTGCAGAACTCTTGATATCAAACAATGCTGACGTGAATGCAGTGGATGAAGATCAATGGACTGCTATTCATTATGCAGCTGAAAATGGACACGATCAGTTGATCCAACTGTTGATTGACAAAGGATCCACTGTTAACACTTGTTCAACTACCGGTGAAACTCCACTTCATACCACAGCATCAAATGGTCATAAGGACGTTGCAGAACTCTTGATATCAAACAATGCTGACGTGAATGCAGTGGATGAAGATCAATGGACTGCTATTCATTATGCAGCTGAAAATGGACACGATCAGTTAATCCAACTGTTGATTGACAAAGGATCCACTGTTAACATTTGTTCAATTACCGGTAGAACTCCGCTTCACAACGCAGCATGGAATGGTCATAAGAACGTTGCAGAACTCTTGATATCAAACAATGCTGACGTGAATGCAGTGGATGAAGATCAATGGACTGCTATTCATTATGCAGCTGAAAATGGACACGATCAGTTGATCCAACTGTTGATTGACAAAGGATCCACTGTTAACATTTGTTCAATTACCGGTAGAACTCCGCTTCACAACGCAGCATGGAATGGTCATAAGAACGTTGCAGAACTCTTGATATCAAACAATGCTGACGTGAATGCAGTGGATGAAAAACAATGGACTGCTATTCATTATGCAGCTGACAATGGACACGATCACTTGATCCAACTGTTGATTGACAGAGGATCCACTGTTAACATTTGTTCAATTACCGGTAGAACTCCGCTTCACAACGCAGCATGGAATGGTCATAAGAACGTTGCAGAACTTCTGATATCAAACAATGCTGATTTGAATGCAGTGGATGAAGAACAAAGGACTGCTCTTTCCTTTGCAGCTCAAAATGGACACGATCAGTTAATCCAACTGTTGATTGACAAAGGATCCACTGTTAACATTTGTTCAATTACCGGTAGAACTCCGCTTCACAACGCAGCATGGAATGGTCATAAGAACGTTGCAGAACTCTTGATATCAAACAATGCTGACGTGAATGCAGTGGATGAAAAACAATGGACTGCTATTCATTATGCAGCTGACAATGGACACGATCACTTGATCCAACTGTTGATTGACAGAGGATCCACTGTTAACATTTGTTCAATTACCGGTAGAACTCCGCTTCACAACGCAGCATGGAATGGTCATAAGAACGTTGCAGAACTTCTGATATCAAACAATGCTGATTTGAATGCAGTGGATAAAGAACAAAAGACTGCTCTTTATTATGCAGCTCAAAATGGACACGATCAGTTGATCAAACTGTTGATTGACAAAGGATCCACTGTTAACACTTGTTCAACTACCGGTATAACTCCGCTTCACAACGCAGCATGGAATGGTCATAAGAACGTTGCAGAACTTCTGATATCAAACAATGCTGATTTGAATGCAGTGGATAAAGAACAAAAGACTGCTCTTTATTATGCAGCTCAAAATGGACACGATCAGTTGATCAAACTGTTGATTGACAAAGGATCCACTGTTAACACTTGTTCAACTACCGGTAGAACTCCACTTCATACCGCAGCATGGAATGGTCATAAGAATATTGCAGAGCTCTTGATATCAAACAATGCTGACGTGAATGCAGTGGATGAAAATCAATGGACTCCTTTGAATTTAGCTGCTCATAATGGACACCACCAGTTGATCCAACTGTTGATTGATAAAGGATCCACTATTCACATTTGTTCAATTTACGGTGTAACTCCACTTCATAGCGCAGCACGGAATGGTCATAAGAACGTTGCAGAACTCTTGATATCAAACAATGTTGACGTGAATGCAGTGGATAAAGAACAAAAGACTGCTCTTTATTATGCAGCTCAAAATGGACACGATCAGTTGATCAAACTGTTGATTGACAAAGGATCCACTGTTAACACTTGTTCAACTACCGGTATAACTCCGCTTCACAACGCAGCATGGAATGGTCATAAGAACGTTGCAGAACTTCTGATATCAAACAATGCTGATTTGAATGCAGTGGATGAAGAACAAAGGACTGCTCTTTCCTTTGCAGCTCAAAATGGACACGATCAGTTAATCCAACTGTTGATTGACAAAGGATCCACTGTTAACATTTGTTCAATTACCGGTAGAACTCCGCTTCACAACGCAGCATGGAATGGTCATAAGAACGTTGCAGAACTCTTGATATCAAACAATGCTGACGTAAATGCAGTGGATGAAAAACAATGGACTGCTATTCATTATGCAGCTGACAATGGACACGATCAGTTGATCCAACTGTTGATTGACAAAGGATCCACTGTTAACACTTGTTCAACTACCGGTGAAACTCCACTTCATACCACAGCATCAAATGGTCATAAGGACGTTGCAGAACTCTTGATATCAAACAATGCTGACGTGAATGCAGTGGATGAAGATCAATGGACTGCTATTCATTATGCAGCTGAAAATGGACACGATCAGTTGATCCAACTGTTGATTGACAGAGGATCCACTGTTAACACTTGTTCAACTACCGGTGAAACTCCACTTCATACCACAGCATCAAATGGTCATAAGGACGTTGCAGAACTCTTGATATCAAACAATGCTGACGTGAATGCAGTGGATGAAGATCAATGGACTGCTATTCATTATGCAGCTGAAAATGGACACAATCAGTTGATCCAACTGTTGATTAACAGAGGATCCACTGTTAACACTTGTTCTACTTCCGGTTTAACTCCACTTCATAGCGCAGCACGGAATGGTCATAAGAACGTTGCAGAACTTCTGATATCAAACAATGCTGATTTGAATGCAGTGGATGAAGAACAAAGGACTGCTCTTTCCTTTGCAGCTCAAAATGGACACGATCAGTTAATCCAACTGTTGATTGACAAAGGATCCACTGTTAACATTTGTTCAATTACCGGTAGAACTCCGCTTCACAACGCAGCATGGAATGGTCATAAGAACGTTGCAGAACTCTTGATATCAAACAATGCTGACGTGAATGCAGTGGATGAAAAACAATGGACTGCTATTCATTATGCAGCTGACAATGGACACGATCACTTGATCCAACTGTTGATTGACAGAGGATCCACTGTTAACATTTGTTCAATTACCGGTAGAACTCCGCTTCACAACGCAGCATGGAATGGTCATAAGAACGTTGCAGAACTCTTGATATCAAACAATGCTGACGTGAATGCAGTGGATGAAAAACAATGGACTGCTATTCATTATGCAGCTGACAATGGACACGATCACTTGATCCAACTGTTGATTGACAGAGGATCCACTGTTAACACTTGTTCAACTAGCGGTTGAACTCCACTTCATACCACAGCACCAAATGGTCATAAGGACGTTGCAGAACTCTTGATATCAAACAATGCTGACGTGAATGCAGTGGATGAAGAACAAAAGACTGCTCTTTATTATGCAGCTCAAAATGGACACGATCAGTTGATCAAACTGTTGATTGACAAAGGATCCACTGTTAACACTTGTTCAACTACCGGTATAACTCCGCTTCACAACGCAGCATGGAATGGTCATAAGAACGTTGCAGAACTTCTGATATCAAACAATGCTGATTTGAATGCAGTGGATAAAGAACAAAAGACTGCTCTTTATTATGCAGCTCAAAATGGACACGATCAGTTGATCAAACTGTTGATTGACAAAGGATCCACTGTTAACACTTGTTCAACTACCGGTATAACTCCGCTTCACAACGCAGCATGGAATGGTCATAAGAACGTTGCAGAACTTCTGATATCAAACAATGCTGATTTGAATGCAGTGGATGAAGAACAAAGGACTGCTCTTTCCTTTGCAGCTCAAAATGGACACGATCAGTTAATCCAACTGTTGATTGACAAAGGATCCACTGTTAACATTTGTTCAATTACCGGTAGAACTCCGCTTCACAACGCAGCATGGAATGGTCATAAGAACGTTGCAGAACTCTTGATATCAAACAATGCTGATTTGAATGCAGTGGATGAAGAACAAAGGACTGCTCTTTCCTTTGCAGCTCAAAATGGACACGATCAGTTGATCAAACTGTTGATTGACAAAGGATCCACTGTTAACACTTGTTCAACTACCGGTATAACTCCGCTTCACAACGCAGCATGGAATGGTCATAAGAACGTTGCAGAACTTCTGATATCAAACAATGCTGATTTGAATGCAGTGGATGAAGAACAAAGGACTGCTCTTTCCTTTGCAGCTCAAAATGGACACGATCAGTTAATCCAACTGTTGATTGACAAAGGATCCACTGTTAACATTTGTTCAACTACCGGTATAACTCCGCTTCACAACGCAGCATGGAATGGTCATAAGAACGTTGCAGAACTTCTGATATCAAACAATGCTGATTTGAATGCAGTGGATGAAGAACAAAGGACTGCTCTTTCCTATGCAGCTCAAAATGGACACGACCAGTTGATCCAACTGTTGATTGATAGAGGAGCCACTGTTAACATTTGATCAATTACCGGTAGAACTCCGCTTCATAGCGCAGCATGGAATGGTCATAAGAACGTTGCAGAACTCTTGATTTCAAAGAATGGTGACGTGAATGCAGTGAATGAAAAACAATGGACTCCTTTGAATTTTGCTGCTCAAAATGGACACGATCAATTATTCATGCCACTGATAATTGTTTTCCATATTTTTATTATTATTACTATAAATATTATTTTTATTTGCACTTGTATCATTCCTGACTTGTTCGGGGGTGAGATTTGAACTCGTAACTTTGGCGTAAGAGGTATGGATGCAGGGTCTCCCCATTAAAAATTAGTTCAATTACCGGTAGAACTCCACTTCATAGCGCAGCATGGCACGGTCATAAAAATGTTGCAGAGCTCTTGATTGGTTAATAATGCTGATGTGAACGTGGTCGATGAAGACTTCAGTTGGCAGCTTGAATTGGACATGGTCGGGCTATCGAACTATTGATTAACAAGGGACCAAACACCAGCCCTCGGGATTTTGAAGGTAGAACCAGGGCTCTACATTTTCGAAGCTCTATAGTGGACCCTCCTCGATTCCTTACTTTGACAATAATTGTATTGTCAATACCTTCTTTCAATATATTGATACATGTGCGGTTTGCTTAAAGCCTGGCTGTACTTTTCTCGCCTTGCTTTGCCCATTTGGTTTCAAAAAAAGCACCATCGGTTTTCGAGTTTAAACGAAGCCTCACATTGGCTTTCAATTCCTTCCACCGACACTTTGTCACCTGCTTTCGTTACTTCTTTAAAATAAACGTGTGGAGGAAAGATAGTACGTGTAATCTTCAAATAACTACATGTGCAAAATGCATTAAATATATATTTTTATTTCTGTCATATACGCCGTGCAACTTCGATTGAACGCCTCCATGAAAGGCTAGCTGATCGAAGTCGAGCGGACTTTCACTCGTCCACTTCACCGAAGCTTGAAAGATACACGAATGATGGGACGGGAGAATGAGAGAATAGCGATAGACAATTTGTTTGTAGACGTCGACTGAGGTGCTAGAATTATGCAAAGCTGCTCGACTGCAACAGAAAAAAAAAGAAAACTAGCAGTCTCATTGTCTTATTGATTTTGTCGATTGAAGCCGATATTGTGACGCCCTGGGTAGAACTGCACTTCACATCTCAGCATTCAGTGCACAATAGTGATCCAGGAATAGGATTTCCAAATTCTCCGGGAATCAACCACCCGGTAATCGGGAAATAAAAAAAGAGCTTTCTCGGGAAATATGCAAAAATGCTTAAAAATTAGCATCATCAAAGCTGCTTTTGGCGGAAGATTCACGTTCACTCACATTAACTTGATGTTGGCAAATGAGATAAATTAGCTCAAAAGTTTCGAAAATACAAAATAGTAAATTACATCTTAACAGACTGGCAACTACCTCGAAAAACCTTAAAAACCTGGAATTACCAAATTATTTCAAAAGACCTTAAAAGCCTGGAATTATAAGGAAATTTTGCCACAACCAGGGAATTTTTATTAAGTAAGTTCATTAGAGTACCAGAATCATAAAAATGTGTCTAGTCCTGTTGCGAAAATCTATTTTTCTGAGCTCTTTGTAGCGAATCGTCTTATTTGTTTTGCGACAGCTCAAAGCTATACATTTTATTATTATTAGTTTGAAGTTATTTTAGTTCAATACAATCTACATACCATCGGTCTCAAGCTTCGTAATTCAGAAATGCAATATGTTTAATAAGTTCAACATTATTTTAGGATTAACCTGTAGTTAGTTTTAATTAATATAATCCAATTAGGCATAATAAAGTATTGATTGTAATTTACTTGTACAACTGTGTAACACTTCCTAACACAATGATGACAAATCAATAACATAATGATAATCTCTTATCAATATGACTTTTCGCCACCACAATCCATTATCTTCCATATTATCTTTCATAACGTTGCGATTGTACGAGGGGTCGTCGAATGGAATCACTTTTCGGAACATTCTCCCTTCGTGTCGCTCAAACACTGCTTCGGCGTCACCGTCTCCGCTAATTTCTGCTCCGAATTTAGCATCTCCTCGAATCCCTGCTTCGACTTCCGCATTACCACGAACATCAAGAACTGCAAGTTTACAAACAGGTCTCCGCAAAACTCCACTAGATGTCTCCATCTGCCCGGTACACTACTCCACCTTAGCCTCCGACCCCTTCATCTGTGTGTGTGTGTGTTTTTTTTTTGGGCAAGGAGGAAACCATTAAAAATGCCATCGGTCGCGGTGACACGATGTGTGGGATTCTTACCGCACTAAATCCTCCTTGGACGCCTTGCCCTTTTCCCCCGGAACCATTTGTCGTATTACTTCGGTGGGGGCCGTGCATTACGCACCTCACTTTACCTCAGCTAATTGGCGCTTCCAGTTCGCTGATCGTCTCTCCAATTTGTGAGCCATTTAGCTCCTAGCGTCACGTTCTACTCGGTTATCCCCAGTGGGGATTCAACCTACTTTGACGGAGAGTTCTCCCGGCTTCGGCTTTCAGTTTGCACTTGTGTGAGCACATTACTACTTTCTAGCTGGTCTTCTCGCCATTTTCGCTGCAGCGCTGACATGATTTGCGTTACTGCTCTGCTGACGGCGTTAAAGGTGCCCTCCTCTCGACACATTTCCTCGACGACATTCTTCGCGCTAAGGGTGAGCATCTCCTCTCGCACAACATCAAATCTAGGACATTCGAAGACCACGTGCTCTGGTGATTCTTCCACATTCCCACACTCCGGATAGAAGGGGACATTGTGTGTCCGAACCGATGCAGGTACTTCCTGAAGCACCCATGACCAGACAGGAACTGCGTCAAGTGGAAGTTGACTTCTCCATGCTTCCTGCTCACCCAGGTCGGTATTAGCTGTGTGTCAATCTACCGTTCTCTGCTGCATCCCACTCCTGCTGCCAGTTAGCCGTCGACACCGTTCTCACCATTTTTCGTAATCCTCTGGTTTCTCTCGTCATATAGCACTCGTAGTCCTCCGCCA